CTTTCTGAAGTTTATTAAGGAAATTTTCTAGGATGTATGTGATTATAAAGTACTGGGATATATGTGCAATATTGTAGAAATGAGTTTTTCTTATCTTTTTACCCAGGCTGTTCAAAGTGAAATGACCGAGCAAAACAAGGAGTTGTGGGACTATGCAGCAGCTGCCAAAGTGACACACCAGCTCCTGAATGCCGATGACAATCTGATACACATGGATTCCAATATAGCAATAGTCGTACATCTGGTCAACCTTTACTTGCCTGAAAAGTACACGGATATCGCCTTCTCCTTGATGATCAAATACAATAACTATCCAATGGTAACTTTTTTTTTAATATTTATTATTTACTAGATGACCCGACAGACGTTGTCCTGTACCCATGTCTACAATTTTTTAATATAATATACTAATATTTACCGTTTACCTAAAAATAATAATTATTGTTTTTTAAATTACTCTTCACGCCAAAATGCATATACATTTATAATATGAGCGATGGTAAATGTAGAACTGCTTTAAATAAAATAATGAGTCTCAATTCCCACACTATATTGGAAATTGAATTCTTTTAAACGGTATAACATAACCATAACCATAACATAACACTGGTACTTCATGTTGGATTAAATTAGTTTAATTTTTTATTATTTAAGATATCCAAAATTGCATCTTAAACTTCTCCTAATCGATATCGTGAGGGCCGAATTGTATGTATTCATCTTTACTTTCCCATTTGTTGTTTTAAAGTGGAATATTTACGAATTTTAAAAATGTTGTGGTAAGATTAATAAAAGATGCAAAGAAATTATATATTAAAAAAAACTATATTGAAAATTTAATATCCGAATCTTGTGTTGGCGCTCGTATTTTTCGCATACATCGCATTAAAGGTAGAACCGGCCCTGATTAATACTTAATTTCATATTTTAAGTGAATTAATTTGTCATATCCTGTTCATATGTGTATCATTCTATCTGCCATACATGCACTGTATTTTATATTATTTTAATATCTGGCACATCGAAGCTGCTTTTTGGCAATAATAATGTAGACATTTCATTTTTCTTATTCATAATCATAAATTTATTATACATATTCTAATATTGTCTAGGTTCATAAACAAATTGAAATTTTTGGCAGATGATAGTTTTCATTTGTTTTCAATGCAAACAATGACATGTCGTAGTCGTTCTACAATATTAATATTGCACATACATCTCAGTACTTTATAATCACATACATCCTAGAAAATTTCCTTAACAAACTTCAGAAAGTTTTATCAAAATCCGCATAATCGTTTAGAAGGAGTGAGTGCTTGTAATTTATTATGAACTTTATATAATAGCAATAAAGCTGAAATTGATTCTACGTTTTAGTTAGAAAACGTTTGTACGAGAAAGAGAAAGGGCTGTTTTTAGGGTTTTTTTCGGCAATTATTCGATTTTTTCTCATCGTAAGAACCATTCTTGGACTTCAACGAACATTTTAAAAAAAGAATTGGCCAAATTGGTCCAGGCGTTGAACAAGTATGGGAATTGAGTTTACCCCTAGCTAATTTAAAATTATTGAAACCACACAAATTCGAACAAAAATATGTTTATTATCTAATTAAATTCTAACAAAATGGACGTTTAGGTAACTAGTGAAGTAAAGTAATATAAAAAATGTTGAACCACGGAATTTTCAAACGTGATTTTGTCTTTGTTATTATTTACTAATTGCTCACTTAGTTGTGTAAACATTGACATATCACCAGCTTAAACCCTGCGTTGGTAAAGTTCCAATTGGCGCAAAAAACTTGCGATTTTATCCTGCAACGTCAAAATATTCGTTTCATTTCCTTGCAGTAAAATATTCAGACTATTTATTTCAGTGAAAAAAAAAACCAGCGAGGTATGTCATTTTTAGAAGAAATGCTTGGTCTTTAATTTTTGCATAATATTCTTTTTCTTTTTGTGACCTTTGATTTTCAAAATACGTCTTTGCCGCGAGTAGTAGTGGGCAAATACCTTGCAAAACAATTATTCTTTCTAAACATCATCATCTTTAATGTATCGTGTGAACATCAGTAATTGTAAACACAAAGCATTATGTTCATTGCTTTTTGTACCTGTGTAACTCCCCTAGAATCTCCGTTTTATCCCTGCAGGGGAAATTACCACCAGGTTAGGAACCACTGAGAGAGTGTAGAGTCTACTAGACTCTCTCTTAAGACTCACTAAATTCGATGAACGATCTCTATTTTATTTATTAGGTATAGGACGTAACATATGTGCACTTCCGCATTCGCGCTCTGGCCATGTACTTTGATTATTTATCAAAGCCGCACGAAATGCATTATTACACAATAATAAGTTGTTGGTTTGTAGGTGAAAAACATTATAAAACATGTTTGGTTTGTAGGTGAAAAAAATGATAAAACATGGAGCCGATGTCTTTAGAAAGCTTCCTCCGCACGATAAAAACGCCATGTACATTGCTGCTGATAGCGGTTCCTTAGATGCGTTTAATGAAATTGCTAAACAGTATACATCTGCAGCATTTAAAGACAACAAATTTGGGTAAGATAATTAAAAGTAAGGTATAATAAATCGCTTAAAAATAAAACCAACATTTCTTGAATCTTCTAGTTGCGTCGAAGCCTTGCACAGAGCAATTTATTGCCGTCACCATGCAATTGCGGAACGTCTACTAGATTTAGGAGTTGATCCAAATGCCTATGATGATGCATTAGGGTAAGTTTAGTGCAGTTTTTTTTGCAAAACTTTACCAAATATAGCAATACTATATCAATTCTTTAGGAATTTAACAATTCCTGTGGGATATTTATTGCAGTAAACGGGGAAGAAAAAAGGGTATAACCTCTGAATTTTTTTTACCGTGCTCCGAATTGCATGAAATTTTGGAATTAGGTTCATCTTACCCTCAAGTTTAAAAGTAAAAATTATTTAGACTCCTTTGCCACTTTCCGGAGGAATGACATCCCTTCTCAATTGTGTAATTACATTTTTTTTCAAAATAACGTCGGATATCGATAGAAGAACTAATTATAAGAAATAAATGTGTCTTACTAATGCTTTTCAAGTTACTAGTCACTAAAAATTCATATATTTTTGGCGGTTTTCTTCGTTTTTTTGCAAATATCTCCTAAAATATCCATTTTAACGAAAATCGTGTAATGAACAAAATAATGTCAATAAATTTTTTAACAAATCGGTGTTTCAAAAAGTGTTCTAGGAATAATATTAAGCAAGATTTGATAAAGCAAAGTCGCTTTTTATTTCGTCAGTAGAGTCCTTTTACTTTAATTTGCTCGTCAGTAGAGTCCTTTCTTTTCTAATTTTAATTTGCTCATCAGTAGAGTCCTTTTTTCTTTTAGTAATTCAATTTTTCTTAGTTCAGTAATTTAATTTGCTCGGCAGTAGAGTTCTTTCTTCTTTTAATTTAATTTGCTCGCCAATAGAGTCCTTTCATTTTTTATTTTAGTTTGCTCGTCAGTATAGTCCCTTTATTTTAATTTGCTTGTCAGTAATAGTTCTTTCATCTTTTATTTTAATTTGCTCGTCAGTAGAGTTCTTTCATCTTTTATTTTAATTTGCTCGTCAGTAGAGTCCTTTTATTTCAATTTGCTTGTCAGTAAGAGTTCTTTCATCTTTTATTTTAATTTGCTCGTCAGTAGAGTCCTTTCTTTTTTTTACTTCAATTTGCTCGTCAGTAGAGTCTTTTCTTCTCTCACTTTAATTTGCTCGTCAGTAGAGTCCTTTCTTTTTTATATTTTAATTTACTTGTCAGTAGAGTCCTTTTCTTTCTTACTCTAATTTATCTTATTTAATTTATCTATTTAATGTTATTTGCTCGTCAGTAGAGTTCTTTCTTCTTTTATTTTAGTTTGCGGGTCAGTAGAGTTTCTTTCTCTTTTTATTTTTATTTGTTCATCATTAGAGTTCTTTTTTTTAAACAATTTTTCATCAAGGGGTTGTTTTTAAAAGTCTAAAAAGGGTTAAAAATTTGATAATCAAGATAGAAAACATAAAATATCATTTGCATTATACGTAATTCTCATTATATCATACTGAAATTTATTTTTAAATGTTTTTTTTTTCAATTGAGAGGTTACTTGAAAGCTTTTAGGGTTTTCACGGGGTTGAAAATGATTTTATTGCAAGGTAAATGTATTAAAAAATACTTTTTAATTATATCCTTTAATATTAAAAACGTTTTCTAGCGATAAAATGGCTCAATGTCCACTTATTCATTAAGGGGGAACCCGAATTGTTTTCACTTTTAAACTTGAGGTTAAGAGGAACATAATTCCAACATTTCACGCAAATTGGAGGACAGTAAAAAAATTCAGAGGTTACACACTTTTTTAATTTCCGTTTACTGCACTAGTTGTCTAAATCCTTATCCTTTATTATTAAATAAAGTAATTATTATTGAATAAAGTAATTTTGGTGTTTTCCTAGTTATTCCTACAATGCTGTCCATCTGTGCGCGTATTGGAACGATGTCAAGATGATTCAAAGTTTAATAAAACGAGGAGCCGATCTCAAAAAATTAGACGTGGATTCTCATCAAACTGCTTTAGGAATCGCGTTGAACAAAGGCCACAGGGATATTGTCAAGGAATTAAAATACAGCATAAAACACCAATCGTAAAATGAATCTTAAAATAATTCTTAAAATAAAATAAAAACGCACAAATCACGACATCAACATTTTTTTTATTCCTCTTAATATTTTCTCCATGGTTCTTTAGTAAACGCCTTCGAATTTACTCCCCTGGGTGTGTTTGCCTTAGAATTTCGACAGGATTGCGTAACGTTTCGATTCAACGATGTGCTCCTTGTCAGGATTTTGTTATAACGAGGCGCCTGGACGACGGAGTTTGCACCCGAACTGGAGAGGAAAGGGTAAAGGAAAGGAAAGGGATGGATGGTGGAAACAATATATATATATATATATATATATATATATATAAATGTTTTTTCCCACTTACCACATTCTGGCAGATTCGCTCTTGCCGACTGGTGGCGGTCTGCAAGGTAGACATGACAGTGTTGCCTTGAACACAGGTTTTTTGGTGTTCGCCAAGGGCTTGTTGTTGGTGCAACTTTGGTTAGGGATTCTTCTGACAGCTGGGCATAGTCCAGTTCTACTCAGACGACTCTGAAATTTTAATTAAAAGTCAATTTTCAACTTCCCGTAGGGTAGTTATAGTAATGGGCCGAAAATCGAAAATGAAAATATTTGCATTTCTCGACGTTTTGAAGGTTTCTGAACATTTTACTGGCATACCTTAGAAACTAAATGGATGTGTGTGTATGTGTGTACGTATGTATATCCGCATTTTTTCGTCCACGTTTTCACGCACGGATCAACCGATTTGAATGGTTTAAAAAACATTCAATTTGTAATGATTGGGAGATGTGCTGATTAGTTTTTGGCAAAGGCAGGTCCAGCCGTTATGGAGATACGGAGCAAAGAGTGCATAAAATAGAAATCAAGTTTTTGAGAGAACGGAGGATCCGATTTGAATGATCTAAAAACATTCGATTCCTATGGATAGAGAGATGTGCTGATTAGTTTTTGGCAAAGACAGGTCCCGCCATTTCGAAGATACAGAGCTAAATGTGCAAAAAATTGCAGTTTTTGAGAGAGAACTAAGCGTCCGATTTGAATGATCTAAAAAACTTTCTGCTTGTATTGACAAAACAATTGCTTCTGAGGATAAAAAATTATTACATCTTTTTTTTTATTTTTCATAAAATATTTTTGTAATTTGGATTAAAAATTCAAAAATTTACCCAGGCTAAGCACAGTCTAAGTGATAACCTGGTGTAAATATATTTGTAAGTGCGTTTAGACTGTTTCTGAAAAATGTGAAAATGCCTCCAAGCTCGGCACAGTATAAGTGAAAATGTCGCACAGAATTATTTGCAAATGCGTTTAGACTGTGAACACACGGGAGCACTTTTTCAACTATTTTTTTTTGAAATTGAATTCGAAATGAAATGACGATTGTTGTTAATGTTCTGGAGATAAATTGATTTATTTATAATTTACATTTGATTTGCTCAGATATAACAGGATAGCGAAAATAATGAAAGTTACAGTATTTGTTGTAATAATATATTTGAAAACGTTTAAAATTTCTCGAATATTTCATTACGGTACGGGAAGTTCTAGCAATTTGCCTTAAGGCACGATGCCATACACCATTAGTTAATATTTAATTTAGTAGAATTTTGATGATTGATTAACTAGTACCTGATAATGAAGAGTAGGGTCACCGGGTTCGTCAATAACCTGCGGCTTTTCAGCCTTTCTTTTCAAATGTGCCATGTAACTGATTTCTCTTCGCATACTTTCCAATTTGGCCTGATCGTTTGCATAGCCGTCTTTCAGAGTTTGAAGCAATTCTGTCAATTCTTTGGTCTACAATTAATAAAAAAAAATAAAAATTACGTGATAAATAAAAATAGTTGTAAATAGTGAAAATGTTATGGCAAAGCTATGTTATGAAGAACTTTCCATACTAAATATTGACAAAAACCATGCGCTTGTTGTACAGACAGGCGTATTTCTCAGGTTGTAGAAAAGAAAACCTAACGTAGAAACCGCACAAATGTCAAAAAATCCATTTTAAATAACAGGGTCTTTCTGACTCAGCTTCATAACATACAAGTGTCGTTGCAGTTTATGCGTAAAACGTCTGAATGCACAGCAAATACATGAGAATTTGACAGTATTCAGTATGATTCAGTAGCATAATGTATGTAACAGGGCCTTGCCATAACATTTGTTTTTGTAAGAAATTATTTATTGTTTATTACCTTATCGACAAATGATGTAAATTCAGAAACCATTCCCGGTTTGATGTTTTTGGTGAGATTGGACTTTTTTCGAAGTCTGTCCATTTCTTTGCGGATTGATTCCTTTTCGCTTTTTAAAGCCTCTAGGCGTTCTTTGATCTAAAAAAAAAATTGTGTAATATAAGGGTGGTCCTTAATATGGACATTTTCGAATTTCCTTGCGCCCAAGGGCTCAAATGTTTCCAAATTGATACAAAAAAATTCTCTGAAAGTTTTAGCTCTTAATATTAACATTTAGGTAGTCCGCAATTCAATCAAAAGTTTCGTATATTTATTAATAAGTAAATTCTTGGGCCATCTGTGATAGCAGACCTGTAATTTTCATGGCAATTTATTACTGATAATTTGAGTGTCAAAATCGTGAAAAGATGGTAAAAATTATTTCTGCAATATAAGAATTAAAGATAAGAAAATATTGATTCCAAATTTTAGGGGTGAACAATTCTTGTTAAAAATAAATAGTTTTTCAAAGTAAAAAATCATAACACAGTATTATATATATAATACTCACATCTTCGCTGTCTGTAACAAGTTCCTGCAATTCTTTATCCTTTTTCGAGACAATTTTCAGAGCCCCTTGTAACTTTTCTTTCAGTTGTTTGTCATCCAAAGACATCACACTCGTGTACTGAGCCATTTCATCATCTACGAATAAATAATATAGATAACTAGTGGTGTATGGCATCGTGCCTTAAGGAAAATTGCTTGAACTTTCCGTACCGTAATAAAATATTCGAAAAATTTTAAACGTTTTCAAATATATTATTACAACAAATGCTGTAACTTTCATTATTTTTGCATTATCTTGTTATATCTGAGCAAATCAAATGTAAATCATAAATCAATTTATCTCCAGAACATTAACAATCGTCATTTCAATTCGAATTCAATTTAAAAAAAAACTAGTTTAGTTGCCTAATTTGCACAAAATTGAAAAAGTGCTCCCGCACAGTCACAGTCTAAACGCACTTGCAAATAATTCTCTGCGACATTTTCACTTATACTGTGCTTAGCTTGGCGGCATTTATAAGAACTAAAATGATTGTTGTTAAATCGAGGAGGCTGCATTTTAATATATCTCGTTTTGTACTTTTGGACCGGTTCGATTTTTATTTATTTGTTTATAACTTCTAAACAAATTGTCCGATTGTTTTGCATCATTCAGCAAATTTATAGCCAATTAAATTGTCTACAACTTTTGTTAATAACAAAATGTTGTATCTCATATCCTTTTACCCAAAATTTGCAATGAAACAGGTTGTCGTTAAATTTTGGAGGTTACATCAGTATATCTTGCTTCATACTTTAGAACCAGCTCGATTTTTATTTATTTATTTATAACTTCAAAACGAAATGTCTCACCATTTTGAAATATTCAGCAAATTTATAGCCAATTAAATTATTTACAATTTTTACTAACAACAAAAATTGGTATCTCTTGTCCTTTTATCAAAAATTTACATTTAAAAAGGTAGTTGCTAAATTTTGGAGGTTACATCATACTCATGTATCTTACTCTGTCACTCTACACTGTCAGGTATATGTTGCTCTTTTTCGCACTAGTGTTTTATATCTCTCTCTCTCATTTTATCACTGTATACTGTTGTCTCTTTTACGTTTAATCAAAACAGACTCTATATCACATCGCGACTTAAGAAGTTTTACTTCAAAAATAAAATTCTATTTTACTAATTTATACATCGCGAACCTAAGAAGTTGAATTCAAATGTAAATCATAAATCAATCAATTTATCTTAATCTTAATTAACAATCGTCATTGCATTTTGAATTCAATTTAAAAAAAAAAATAGTTGCCTAATTTGCACAAAATTGAGAAAGTTGTATCATAATACAGTATTATATATAGACGATAAAATTAAAATTTTAAGAGAAAAGGGACTCTACTGACGACCAAATTAAAATTCTAATACAAAAAGAGACTTTACTGATGAGCATATTTGTAATGGGAATACAAAAAGGGACTCTACTGACGACCAATTATATAAAAAGGGACTCTACTGACGACCAATTATATAAAAAGGGAAATTATATAAAATGTCAATACAAAAAGGGACTCTACTGACCAGCAAATTAAAATTTTATTAGAAAAAGGACTCTACTGACGAACAAATTAAGTCGCAGTCTAAACGCATTTGCAAATAATTCTGTGCGACATTTTCACTTATACTGTGCTTAGCTTGGCGGCATTTTCACATTTTTTAATAGTTTTCACAAAATTGGAAAAGTGCTCCTGTACATAAACAGTCTAAACGCACTTGAATAAACATTTGTACTTAGACTGTGCTTAGCCTGGGTAATTTTTTGAATTTTTAATCCAAAATTACAAAAATATTAAAAAAAGATGTAATATTTTTTTATCCTCAAAAGCAATTGTTGTTTTAATACAAGCAGAAAGTTTTTTAGATCATTCAAATCGGACACTTAGTTCACTCAAAAACTGCCATTTTTTGCACATTTAGCTCTGTATCTTCGAAATGGCGGGACCTGTCTTTGTCAAAAACTAATAACCACTTCTCCCAATCATTACAAATTGAATGTTAATTAGATCATACAAATCGGATAATCCGTTCTCTCAAAAACTCGATTTGTATTTTCTGGACTTTTTGCTCTTTATCTCCATAACTGCTGGAACTGCCTTTGCTAAAAACTAATCAGCACATCTCCCTATCAATAGGGATCGAATGTTTTTTGAACCATTCAAAATCGGTTGATCCGTGCACCCGAAAACGTGGACGAAAAAATGCAGACATACGTATAAAACACACACATACACCCACACACACATCCATTTAGTTTCCGAGGTATGGCAGTAAATTGTTCAGAAACCTTCAAAACGTCGAGAAATGCAAAAATGTTCATTTTCGATTTTCGGCCCATTACTATAACTTACCCTACGGGAAGTTAATAATAATAGAAATTTGATTTAGTCTTTACTTAAAAAATTACCAACTCACCATTAACGTTAAAACAATCCTTCCCAAAGCTCAATTCGCTGATATCGTCCCCGGTTCCGTAACAATTGCAATTGTGACAATCCTCGCAGTCCGACGAGTCTTGATTATCCTGACCTTTAAGGGACTTCAATTTGTTTTCATTGATAAGACAACTGATTCTGTTCTTCTGGCGGATGAAAAGTAGTCTTGCAGCCCCCAACTCGGACATTCTTTGCTGCTGCAGGCGGAGATATTTCTCAATAACCTGGGGGAGGAAAAATAGATGGTAAATTAAATGATGGATCAAATGCAGAGTCGAAACGTCGAGTCTAATATGTCGTGTGGGGTATCAAATAAAAGGTCTCGACGGTTCCTATTCAAATATATAATTGATAGACTTTAGAATGCAATAAGATTCTGTACACCACTTTTGTCACGGTACAAGATGTAACTCTTCAGGATTATGTTGCGATTTTGAAGTACACCGAGTTGCTCTCGAAACTTTTGTTGTTGATAAAAGTTGTAAATTATTTAATTTTGCACAAATTTGTCGAATATTTCATTCAAATCTGACTTGCCGTTTAAAAGTTGCAAGAAATTTAGTAACTGCATGAATAATAGTATGATGGGTCAAATATGGGGCCGAAACGTTTCGCGTCAAATATGTCGTGTGGGGTATCATTTGAAAGGTCTCGACGACTCCAATTCGAATATGAAATTGATGGAGCTTATAAAACAATAACGTTCCATCCAATATTTTTTTGTTTTTAATTACTAGTTTAAAATAAGACAATGTTATAAATCATTCAATTTTGTACAAATTTGCCAAAAGCATCATTAATTTTCCGAGATTACTTAAAAAGTTATAAACAAAAGATAATTAACAAATGCACTGAAGTAAATATTGACATAATTAAAGATTATTATGAATTAGTATACTGAGTTGTTCTAGGGTTTACGATGTTCGAAAATATTGCAACTTATTTAATTTTATACAAATTTATGGAATATTTCATTAAAATCTGACTTGTCGTTTAAAAGTTACAAGAGATTTAGTAAATAAATACATCAGTACGATGGGTCAAACATGGGGTCAAAACGTTTTGTATCAAATATGTCGTGTGGGGTATCATTTAAAAGGTCTGGACGACCCGAATTAAAATATATGATTGACAGACTTTAGAAAACAATAGGAGTCTGTACAACACTTGATTTCAATACAATGCGTAGCTCTTCAGGTTTATATTGCAATTTTAAAGTACACTATATTGCTCTAGGGATTTTTATTATTGATAAAAGTTGTAGATTTTTTAATTTGCTATAAATTTGTCGAATATAATATTAAAATCAGACTTGTCGTTCAAAAGTTACAAGAGATTTAGTAAATATATGCACGATAGTGCGATGGGTCAAATATGGGGTCGAAACGTTACGCGTCAAACATATCGTGTGGGGTATCATTTAAAAGGTATCGACGTACTAAATTCAAATATATGATTTGCAGACTTTAGAATACAATAGGATTCTGTACACCACTTGATTTTAGTACAATGCGTAGCTCTTCAGATTTATATGGCAATTTTATAGTACACCAAGTTGCTCTGGAGACTTTTGTTGTTAAGAAAACTTGTAGATTATTTAATTTTGTACAAATTTGTCGATTATTTCATTCAAATCTGACTTGCCGTTCAAAAGTTACAAGAGATTTAGTAAATACAAGCACCGATAGCTGAACTATATTCAGTGCGATGGATCAAATGCGGTGTCGAAACGTTTCGCGTCAAACATATCGTGTGGGGTATCATTTGAAAGGTCTCGACGAACTGAATCTAAACATATCATTTATCCTAGTATTACCTTTTCGTGTATCGGTATCTTGCTCCTCTTCCCCTGCAGGCCGCTGGCGACCTCCTTCTCTCGTATCAGGAGACAGTAGAATTCCTTCTGCAAAATCGCCATCCTCTCGGCACGTAGCATCTTCAATTCCTTGACCACTTTGTAATGGTTCGAAGCGAAGGAGTCGAGTTCCTTTTTGATTTCACCGTATTCTTGCAACTTTTGCAAATACTCGTCTTCGCACTGCTCGTCGGAGTTGAACTGGAGTTCTGCTACCGAGATTCTTATCTGGGGAATAAAAAT